GAATGATGGACAGTCAATAAGGAAGACCAAAGAAAAAATCAATGCCTTTGAATTATGATATTGGTGAAGGGTATTGAAAATATTATGGGCTGTCAAAAGAATAAACAGATTTCTCTTGGAGGAAGTGCAACCAGAATATTTCTTAGAGTCAAGGGAAGTGAAACTTTATCTCCCATCCTTTGGGCACAATGTCAGGAGGTGCCAGTCGTTGGAAAAAAGACATCATGCTGGGAAAGATGGGGGGTAAAGAGAGAGAGAGGAAGACAAGATTGACAGAGTGCGCACAGTACTGAGTTCATCGCGGTGAAGACCATGAGGATGGTACAGGATTGGGCATGGTCCAGAGGCTGATTGGTACACAAATAGGAATGGTTCATGCCTGTGGGCATTATCCTACCACTGCCCACACGTGTACCAAGACAGTCTTGAAATGACCTTTTTGATGGTGAACGTGATGCCATTCCATTTTAATTTGGCATTTCCACCACAGTACACTGTGTGATTTTCTGATTACAAATGACCAACACATCTATTAAAACTCACTAATGCTTAGGTATTTATTTTTATGCATTTATTTTATTTTTTATGATGTCCTGTTTTCCCAGATTTGTATTTCATATGTTCTATATTAGATTATTAATGAATATTTATAGCATTTTCTCTCTGTCTGAGGTGTGCTATGAACTGAGTTTTAAGATCTCCAGCCATTTCTTCCAGGGAGCCTCAGGGTGGTCTCAGCCTGTCCTTTAGATGCTGAGCTGCAAGCTGGCTAACCTTTTGAACCATCCAAGGGCTCCTTAAGAATGCATTTTGAGGGCTCCCAGCTGTTGGACTTCGTCTCATTTAGCCTTCTGAGTGTCTTGGGTAGGTGCTGTAATACTTCAGAGTCAGCTTCCAATCATTGTGACCATCAGCACATTTTACAAATGTCGGCCCTTGGACTTGTGAAATTAAGGAACTTGCCGCCTCCTCAGTCAGCAGTTAGGAAAAAACATAGCCAGAATTTGAAGTTAAATCTAGCAGGTATTAAAATATGACACCAGACATAATATAATACGCCATTCTTCAGTATTGTTTATTGATGATGGTACAATTCTGCTGCTGGGGAAAACTAAAGACAGGTTGGGATGAGAAAAGCATTTGCTTAATTAAATACGCTGGTACACTGCAACACTGATGTGTCAAATGTGATAATGGTTACCCATGATAGACATTGTTTGGTGGAGCTTCCTGATTAAAATAAGCTTGGAAGCAGGAGTAGCATCCACTTCTGAAATAGCTTGCCTCTGGAAACCCTGTGAACCTGGAAAGAGGATGAAAGTTATACAAGTGTTCAGGTTTTTCATTCATAGGGTCTCTATGAGTCGTGTACGACTTGACTGCACTTAACAACAACAACAACATATCAGCTAATGAACATTCCAGAAGCATTTCTAAATCCACATTATCAAGGTCAGCTCTGCTTTGAAGAGGAAGCTCTTCCTCATTTTGTTTCGAGTGCCTTTTAAGCCAATGGTCTCATTTTACAGCACTCTGTTAGGCATTAGGGAGCTCTAGTGGCCCACTGGTAAGAAGCTGCACTGCAATCCCAAAGGCAAGCAGTTCGAATTCACCAGTTTCTCCAGGAGAAGGATGGACATTCTCCTCCTGTACAGTTTACTGACTTTGAAAACCCATAAGATCAGCTATGCGTTGGTTCCAACTTGACAGCACACAACACAACTATTTGACGGTGATTGATCAGATTTTCAGTGACCTAAATTTTTTAGGAACACATTTTTCTTTCTAATATGTCTCAGTCTGGAGACCCTCTGAAACTGGTTCTCTGGGTAACTTTGATTGTAATTAAAATACCGTTAGCATAGCTTCTGGCATTGGCGCAACAAGCAGGCTGCCACGTTATGATAGACTTAGAGATGTGTGGTGGTCTGTATAGGTAAATTAGCTCACTAAACCATGAATATCACCTTTAAATAAAAAGATAGGTGGCTATTTTTAGGCTGTATGGCATGACCAAAATAAAGACATTTGAAAAATGATAGTCATATATTTATATAGTTAAATAATTTCAATAAAATGTGTTAGTATCATCTCTTCAGTGTCATAATTTTGGTCCCGTCTACTGTTCAGAAGAAGCCAAAGCACAAGGAAGAATTCAAGATACTAATGGGTTGAATAGAAGATTTCAAAAGGCAGCACAGGATGACAAAGCAAAATATTACAATGAAATGTGCAAGGAGTTGGAGTCAGAAAATCAAAAGGGCCGAACTCGCTCAGCAT